GGTAATAATTGTTTAAAAGTTTTACAGTTAAAATATCCATGATCTTCGAAAAATATAAATTCTTGATCCTCTTTAATATATCCACTATTTCCAATTTTACAAAGTAGAAAAATAAAATTTTAATCTACTTCGAGAATAAGCATGTTTTAAGTATATTTCAATTTTGCAATTAATATTTTATTTGAACCGTTAAATAAATATCAAATCTCGTGGGAGCATTACGAATAATTGTGCTAGTTGTTTCGGGGTTTAGTTATCGTAACTTATCCAACAGAAAGTATGGTAAAAATCATTTTTATTATGTTACCTGTGAAAAGAGAAACACATAGGGAAATATTCACAAGATGTTTAATAATTTATGGTTGCAGGTTCACCTTGGCGAGACAAAATATCTCTGGCCATTCTGGACCTTCAAGAGAAGGGCGTCATTCAAATGTTGTACAACAAATGGTGGAAGAGTTCAGGCGTCTCCTGTGCCAGAGAGGACAAGAACAAGGAAGGGAAGGCAAACTCTTTAGGAGTTGGCAATATAGGTGGGGTGTTTGTTGTCCTCTTGTGCGGATTAGCTGTTGCCTTTGTAGCTGCTATCATTGAGTTCTTCTGGAATTCCAGGAAACACGCACAGACTGAAAGAGTAAGTTCAAATGAAAATTTAATCAGCGTTATACTACTTAGAAATGAATCGCTTATGTGATGAACTTGAAACAAATGAAATTACTTAGTAAGCTTACGCTTAATAAAAACATGCATAATCTGAAACTCTCTTAAATTTAAAAGATCTTAATATTTAATAAGAATTTTATTTTAAAGACTTATTAATGGATGTTTTCTCTTTTTTATTTTTACTGAAACTCTAAAATTTATCAGATCTAAATATGCAATCAATGTTTCAAGACTGACTTCAGATTTTTTTCCCCTTTTTTTACTGAAACTATTAATTTAGCAGATCTTTAGTATTAAAAAGAAATTTTTAAGGTTGAATTGAATGAAAAGATTGATTATAACTTTGAAACTGAAATTCTTACATTGCGCAGCTCTTAATTTTTTTTAAAAATTATCTGCAGACGTTTTGTTCAGAAGTTAATAGATGTATTAGATATTATTATTTAACAGTAATTTTTAAGATTAATTCCTTACATTTATTTTCAACTAAAGCTCTCTTAAATTTAAATGACCTTGATGAATTACAATTCTAAGTTTGGATATTCATAAAATGTAATGGTCAAGTGATTTTTATTTCATTATGATTGTCAATACAGTGAACTTAGCTTAAGATATTTTTGTGAATTTTCACTTATACGAAAACATACTGTTAAATTGTGCAATTTTTTTTTATATTTTGTTTTCGATCGAAATATATGTAAACTTATCAATAGCTCTTTTCACACCCATGACGACTCTAAAATACTTTTAATTGATATTAATTAATACTAAATATAATTCTAACTATCAGCAAAATAAGTTACTGACTATGATTTACAATCACGTTGCAAATTATCATTCGATTCTGCAAAGAATTGCTATAGTTTTACTATATTGTTTCTACTTTTCGCACTCTACCGACACCTCTATAGTGAAAGCCACTTTGTCATATTGAAGCCACTACTTTGATGTCTTAATATTTCGTTACCACATTAATTTATGAGTCTAAGTTTAGTACTCTTATTTTGCTATCAAATAATATTGCATCGTGCATTTTAATTTAATTATTGCTTACATTAAATTAAGTATTTTAATGTACTCAAAAGTCCGTATAAGACGTTAAACTCGTTTATAACTTCATTCTTACATTGGCAGGTGATTATCTTAATAGCTCTTCATGTTCTCATGTTCAACACCAAATAACATGCAGTATTTCACTTAAGTTTAAATGATTAAGATCATTAGCTGTATAATATATTTTTAAAGTTTTGTCAAAATCCGTTGTTTGAAATATGACTGAGAATTTGTATAGCCAATTAACGAAAATCGGAAAAAAATTAAATATACGTTTTTCTACGTTCTGTTTAAGAAGCTAGAAAAGTTTTCACAAGGGTTTAAAAAATAGCTACAAATTTCGGGATACTGACGGGAAACATTAGGTAACACTGCTTTAAAATACCCACCATTTGCAACAACGTCGTATAGTTTAAAGGATTATCAAACATCCATTCATTTTTTATAATAGTTTGCAATAAACCACACTATTGTTGCTTAGTTAAAAAGCGTTTTGCATAATTCTCGATAACTGGTCACAATATTCAATTAGTAAATTGTGCTATTATTTAAATTGATATATCCCTTTCTAATCTTTTCTAGTATCATTACTTATTCTTACTTCTTAACTTTCAAGTATACTTGAATGTAAAATAGTTCATTAAGCACGTAGGAATTAACTATCAATTACAAGATCAAATCCTTGAAAATAACACACATTAAAAACTTGATATCACAGCCTAAGATCTAGAGAAATTATTTCCAGATAGAAACTGCAGCCCATTTGGGAAATTTAAGCATAGAAAATAAATGATTATTTTAACATCTGCGGAATATATTATCAAGCAGAAATAGATACAAAAGCTATTTCAAATAGAACCAAAGGAGGAAGACGAAATGATACTACATAAAGCTGAAAAATTAATTCGGATTGTTTTGATTTCTTATCATGGCATATCCATATTAATATTTTATTAGAAAATTTTAATATTTGAAATAAAACTCATATGCTTAAAATAGTTTTGCATAATTTGTTTGGAAATACATTTTCTTAATTTTCTTTGATTAAAAAAACAATATATATTAAAACCTTTCAATGTATAAACTTTTTATGCGAGTTTCATTAACAAAAAAATAAGACTAAGAATGTTAGTTAAAAATTGCAGTTGGAGATTTAAAGGTCAGATTGATTATTTATTTATTTATTTTACGATACACAAAAATATATACATTTTAAGGCCTCTTATTTGGGTTTTGTATACCAATAAATAAAAATTAGAATACTAATTATTTTAAAAATGCATATGCATAACGCATGCACTGAATTAGCATTTTTTACAAGGTATTAATTAAAAATTTAAAAATTGTATATTTAAACCTCTTTTGTTCCTGTTTCAAGTATTAATAAAAATAACTTAAAATTCAAATAATAAGAATGCAAATAGTAGGAATGCCAATAATAAGAATGCAAATAATAAGAATGTAAATAATAAGAAGGCTATAATAAGAACGCAAATATAGAATTAAATCTTAAGATTATTATCTTTATAATTCTTAATATTTAATGTATAATTTAAAAGCTATTAATTTGTTCAAATCTCTCTTGTTCGAGTTTCATATTCACAAAAAAACTGAAAACAGATTGTAAAATATAATAAGAGATCAAGTGGATAATTGAAACTAAAGATTATTTTAACTATTTAACCAATTATTTAAAGTATTTAAAAAAATAATTTAAATGGAATTTCAAACGAAACAATAGAGATTATTGGGAAAATAATCTATTTGTTCAAATTAAAATATTCCATTCTAATTTACATTAAGTAAACAAGTGGATAATAGCAGCTCTAGATTACTATTTTATTATACACAATAAACTAAATTATTTTGAAAAATGTAATAATAAAATGTGTTCTACATGCGAAAATAGAGGGTATTTAGGAAATAATTTATTGATTGCAATAAAATCATTTTATTCTAATTACTGGTTCATATAAACCGAAGAGCCATTACATTATGACCACCCTGCTAATAACATGTAGGACCACCTTTAGCCCTAAAAACTGCTAGCACCCGCCGTGGCATTGATTCCACATGGTGCTGATAGGTAGTCTGAGGTATCTGGTACCAAGCGCTCATCAACTGTCCTGCAATTCCCTCGCATTGCGAGGGGATAGCGTGGCAGCACGAATTTGGTTTTTCAAGTAGGACTACAAATGCTCTATTGGATTAAGGTCAGGTGAATTTGGGGGCCAAGACATAACTTGAAAGTCACTGGAATGTTCCTCGATGATTCGATCCTTATGACATGGTGCATTATTCTGTTGGTAAACACCATCCCCAGCAGGAAAAACTGTTGCATGAACGGAGAACCTGGTCTGCAACTATGTTCAAGTAGCTTACAGACGACAGGGATTGTTCTATGAGGATTATGAGTCCTAATGTGCCCCATGAAAACATTGTTCCTGGGCGAGAAACCATGAAAACCTGGACGAGACCATTGTTTTAGATGGAGGGTAATGACTCTTCGGTGTATATGTGTGTTATATATTCATATCAATATATAACACACAGCACTTTATTTTTATTAAATAAAAAAAAAATTTAAACTTTTTTCAATTTAATACTGAAATTCAGTTCATGTTTTTTTTCACAAACCTTTACTGTATTTATTTTCAACTAACTGAACGCAGAACTTGGTATTTTGTTCCACACAGCAGTCACTGTGCTCTGAGATGGCAGAGGAACTACGCTTCGCTGTAAAATGCCGAGCATCTCGCCAACGTCCTGCACTTAGGCGCCAATGCTCCAAATGTATACCTGGTACTACTTACGTCCCAGCAGCCTTAGAAGTTCCTCAGGAAAATGGAATCATGCAGATGATAGAAATGAGGAAATCTCCTCTTACTTACGAGAGTGCCGGCGACTCCTAGTTCCACAAGTGCCAACATCGTCATTCATCTGCCTTTCAGCACTCTCACAACCCATGAGATATTTTGGATTCAAATCAGGATAAGGAAGAAAAGTTTTCACTACAAAAGTGCCATTTTGAGATGGCAAATCAGCTGTGATGCGAATCGTTGCAAAATATACGTCTGAATGTATCTCAATGAAGCAAGTCAGTGATGTTAGATGCACAACTGAGTTTTATATCGTGAAAATTTATTGTAACCATGGCGATCGATAATTCGATCGTCTAGAGGAATATTCTTTTAATTGATCCGATCCATTTAGATTATACGTGAGCTCCTTATTGGATTATTAATATCTTTTCTTTGGAAAGTGATATCTGTAAAAAGAACTTATAAGTGAGTTTAATGTTGAAAGTCTGGATAATACCTGTTTGTATTTTAAGCAAAAATATATTGATTTTGATTGATTAAAAATCACTTTTGATGTAATGGAACATTTCTAAAATTTCTTTGTTGATACTGTTTTATTACAATCTTAAAAAAAACTAATATTTAGATGGTATCTTTGTAAAAATAGTGATTTGTGTAATACACTCATTGTATATTACAAAAGCTTTTCCCTAAATTCTAAATTTAAACCCTCATTCTCAACGACTTTTAATTTATAAATATCTAGAACAATTGTTTTGAAAAGTCAATTCTACGCAATATAAGGCTAAGTCACAAATGTAATCTAAGAATATAACAAAAAAAAAACATTCTGATAATTTTATTGTTATGTTGAATAAATGAATTATATACTTAAAGTATCAAAACTAGTTTTCCATAAATTACTAATTTACATATTTCATTATTTTTTTCTGTTATTTTTAGAATTTAATAGAACCATACATCACTTAAGATAGCTACTTGTAATTAATTAATTATAGTATTTACATTCGTAAACGTGTGATAAAATAGCAAAGATAATTTGATTTAAATTTTTTTCTCGTGGCAATGGTTTAGAAATAAGTGTCTGTTTTACTAGGTGAAAAGAGAAAAATGGGTGATAATGGCGAGTAAAACTAATTATACAAATGCCTGATGGATGAGACAAAGGATTGGCGTTGACATAAATTGTTCTTGTAAAAGAAGACTCCATATGTGATTCGGAATAATCAATTAAGATGTATGTAATTTGAAACGCTTGCTTTTTCGGAACACAAATCCAGATGGGTGACAAAATAATACGTACAAAAAAATAACACTTCTGTACTAACTCTATGTAAACATTGTTTCTTTTAGCAGCAAATCTTTAGGAAGGTTTTACGTTGCATAATTCGGGGTACAATTTGAAGGAACATGATTGTAGCTATTAAAAAAAGTATCCATTTTACCGATGCAAAATGTGCACCAACCAAAATGACATGAGTAGTTGGAAGCTTTTTTCCTTTTTTAATTACATTATAATTATGAAAGCATTCTTATATAAACATCAGAATTCTATTGAATGATTTCAGATTTACTGGTATTAAGGCTAGAAAGAAGTTATTAAATTCCCATTTATTTTGTTCCATCTGATTTTTGCATGAGTTAAAGTGACACCATTTCTAAAAGCTTCCAGCACCATCGTTCTAATTTGGCAATGTAAAATAGTCTGAAGCATTTGATGCTAAAGGAAAGATTGTTGTAAGTAAAAAAGTGTTCGTACACTGACAAAAAAAAACTATTTTCAAAGCTACCAGAATATGGTAAAAATTATTAATAAGTATTTCTTGCTCTATGGGAGCGCCGAAAAGCTCGGTAATTTTTATCGAAAGGCTTTAGCAGTGGTTTTGGTAAAAGTAACAAAAAAATATAGTTTTTATATTATGTGATAAAATTTGGTAAATTAGATAAAATTTGGTAAATGAGAAAAAATTTGGTGATTTTATCATGATACCTTAGAGCATTGTTTAGTTATTTATTCTGCTAAATTTACTTTTCAGTTTTGCCCTTTTTACTTATTTTGTAGTAAAAATTGGTAATAATAATTAATAATTATAATTAATAATAATAATTGTGGTAATAATGCGTGGTAATTTTCAAAACTAGAATTTTCAGTAAACAGAAAGAAAAAAGTACCAAATGATTAGTCTAAATACTGTTTTCATTAGCAAAATTACGGTTATTATTCTTTTTTTTATTGAAAATGTCATTACCATACAGTACGGTAATTTCACTAGAATTGTTTCACCGTTAATTATTTTGTAACCCATCTATACGTTCTAGTTACACCTAAATTTATGGCATGAAAACAATTTTCTCTTACTACACTCATATATCTCTTCAGTTTCTTTTTCGTTTGAGTTTGAGTTACATTAATATGAATGAGATACAATAATAGGTCCATCGTTATAAGCCGCTTATCCTAGAAATGATAGTTCTTAAAAATTATTTATTCAAATAAAAATAAATTCAGCAGGAATTTTGTAATAATATCATTTTTCTGAAAACTTAAATTGTCGCTTTTGATTTTCTTTGCAATAATATTCAATGAAAAATTATAGCCTGAATAGGTTTAAATTACTCTTAAACTTAGGACAGTAGAGTAATATTTAATGTAAATATTCGTCATGAATTATCCTTGTATGGCACCATGTTATTTAAAGATCTATTTTATTCTGTATGGAAATTATAAAAATGATTACATATTTATTTCGGAATTAAAATCCATTACCCATTGGCAAAATGGGTCTTGTTTTGGGTTTGATGGCATGTGCATCTTATTTGGATATCATCACTCTTTACAACTGTGTTCAAGAATAATAGTAAACAGTGCGCATGCGTCGTTATTGCATGCGTTGCTATGGTGACCGCTGCTGTTTAAAATTTTTTTTAGAATTCTTTTTTTCACTTTTAATTTTGCTATGCATTAAGTTGGTGAGTATATTTTTCAGATATGGGACCAGATAGATCCCATAAACGCTTCTTGAGTTGTGAATAAAAGAGAATTTCATCATTTGAACGATATATTCGAAAAATTAGACAACAACCATTTTGTTAATGGGTAACCTATGATCCCCTTTCGGGACCACAATTTTTTTAAATTTAATTCTAATACATTTATAAAAAAAAAAAATTTAGCTTGTTTTATTTTCTTTTGCTACATTTCCTCAAGGCAAGCACGAGTTTATTTTTTTTACTATTTTGTCTCCCTTTTTTCCGTCTCTAGCACTGCAAAAAAATTGAGAAACAAATTGCGTTATAAAGAATCGGCACATCGTGTGTGTCATCTGTAAAATCCATTTTACCGTAAAAACTGCTTTTGCCATAAAATCTGTTTTTACATTAAAATATTGTTCCGTAATTTTTAAAGTAATATTTATTTAATTAGAGTAATTCAGAGATTTGACGGTAATTATATTTTTAAAAATTATGGTACATCAAATCTTTTATTCCATAACATGTTGAGGTAAAAATGGATTACATGGTAAATAGTACCGGTATCCTGAGTGTCAGTACATTTTACCGTAATCAATCCAGATTTTTTACAGTGTGCTTAAATATAAATAACAGAATAAAATGTTATGATGAACCATATAATATATTTTTCAATATTTTTATTTTAAATTTACAACAAATTCTAATTTATTAATTTTCAATAAATTTAAATAAAAAAAATTTTGTAATATTATACAGGGTCTTTATAATTAAAGTTCCATTTTGAAATAGCTATAAAAATAACTTGGTAAATGTCATCAAACTTGGTAAATGTCTATAAAAGGTCATGGGATTTTAGTTCCTGCAAAAAAAAATTTAAAAAAAAGTCAAAAATTCACCACTAGCGGAGAATGGCGCTGTATGCAATAGTGTTAAACAAATGTGAAATATGCAAATTTGTTTTACACGTCATGTGACTTTGCAGTTATAAAAGTGAGGCGCNAAAACTATTTTAACGTATAAACGACACTCGCATTTTCGGATTACTTCGTGGACGGAGGTGTCCTGTGAGGCTTAGCCCTGCAGCCTCATTCCTCCGGGCCATTTTCTAAATGTATTAACTTATATGTATGTTGCCGTGGATGACCCAAATTGGTTGTTGTTGACTTCCCTCGGTGCCAATCACATAGTCGCTAGCCGTGATGGGTCAGGGGATAGAGCGTTCGCCTTCCAAAGATGTGAACCTGGTTCGAATCCCTGCCATGGTTGTCGATACAAATTTTGTATCCAGTTTGCACCGACTACAGCTCTGACGTAAAATATCCTCAGTGGTAGATTGATCATGGATAATAGTCCCCTTGTCATCAGGCTAACCCTGAGAGATTTTCCTGGTTTATCTTTCAATTTAACGCAAATGACAGTTCTATCAAAAAGTCCTCCACGAAGGTAATTTTCTCCCAATACTTGATCCAGGAATTCCCAAGCTATGACGCTGATCATTAGTTGTCGTAAACCTTATATTGAGTTTGCTGTTCAACGACGGTTATAAAATAAAATAAGGATCGCATAGTCGCATTGGTAAATATCCGGAATAGTATACTAGGTCGAATTAAGTGGCACTGCCCGGTATACATTTGCCCGTTATGCCCTACATCAATGTTTAAGATCAAGTGCCACTGCCCAGTAAGCATTTAACCTGTTCCCCGAATACGGATGATTCTCATAATCTATTCTCAGAAGATATTAAAATATCGAATAAATATAATAATATGAACAAACAAATTAATATCAAATTTGATAGAACAAATATTTCAAACATTCACCAAAACGACTAAGTGATTGTTGAAATTCACCGGTGAAAGTCGACATTCTCTCGATACCGATTATTCACGGTAACACGTACACAAAAATGAATCTTTTTTTTAAAACTTTTTTTTTTAAACTTTTTTTTAAACTTTTTTTTAAACTTTTTTTTTTACTTTGGAGCTCTATATGATTTCATATCTCCGAAAAAAAATATTTTATTATTTAACGAATTTAATTCTTGATGAAAGCAATTCCTATTGCTTAAAGTCTATGTCACTTTTGCCTACATCACACTGGAAACATCTATGGACAATTGGAAATACATCATCAGCTACTTCTTATTCAAACCAAAATAATTTCCTAACAATCATACAAAGCAAATTCAAACTAAGTTTTCATATTTTCTCTAACAAAGCCAGCAAGCGCATGCGATGTACGTGGTCGTAAAATCTGTGGAATTGAAAGTCATGTGGTTGGTAACTGAGCAGTACAGGGTTCTGGAGACAATTTCCATCCCCTTCAGATCTATGTCAAAGTTGAAAATGTAGCACCATGAATGAGTGGTGCTGCCACCTATCCGTGAGGTTCTGAGCTAAGATGTACTTTCACTCTAACGGTGATCTCCCGTCAAATAAAAGGCTCATATTCCTGACTTAGATCGCACTTAAAGCTCTTCCTGAATTAAGGAGCACATTTCTGACTTAAGGCCAATGGTTGGCGAGCTTTGCTCTTTGAAGTGCAACAACAGCAATAGTTCGTGTTTTAATCTAAGTCATAAATAAAAAAATCTAAATATTTTCTTTAAATAAATCAACGACTTATCTATTTTAATCAACTTATTCCTCTCATAAAATAATTTACAAATTACTTCAAATATTTCATTTTATATAATATTTTCAATAATACGTATTTGTATTCCTGAGTTTCAATTTTACACCTAACAACAATTCATATTTATCTTAAATCACGAATTTAAAAAGAAGTTAATTTTATATAGGAGTTATCGCTGATGTTCAAAATATCGCAGTCAATTTAAAAAATATTCTGCTTAGCAATCTGCTTAGGAAACTAGTTAATACTATTTTCCTCATCAAGATTCAAAACAAGTAACAGAGTTTTTCAACAGATGTCGTTAATATTTTGTAAAAACTTTGGAAAAATATCTTCTGCAGCATGTTAGATAATTCAGATGAAATTTTTCCGTTCATAGTTAATTTTCTCTTGCAATTTTAAAAATCATTGATTTCAGTTAATTTCGCAGTTGGTGGCGATAAACGTGATGAAATAAATGTTAAAATTCTCCAAGCTCACTGCAGCAAATGGTACATTATTTACTGTTCTTTTTTTTTAAATTCATTTCATTTTTGTAGCCTCAGAAGATCTTGTACCAAGGACCTGGAATACCTTGGGAAAAAATTCTCTGTTCAGATTTAAGAATTTTTTTTTTTTTTTTTGCTTTCCTCTGCATGATTTAAGATGAAAGAAAGTTTGTGTTTTCATACTTTCAACAGTTTTGTATAAAAATAAAAAAAAATAGTATAGACTTCAGATAAGTTTTACAGGATTTTCTTTATAAAATACCGAAGTGCAAAGTTCAAACATGTAAGTAAGGACGTAATAAATTGAAAAGACGTATCTAATTCAGATGAACTAGAGTTTTTTAGCGTTTAAATTTATTTTATTTCATTCACTCTACTAATTTTGTTTTCGTTTCCCTCATAAATTTTCAGCAAAGGAATTCCTATTACTCAATAACTCAATATCTGCGTTTCACTATAAGCATTAACTGTAAAAATTTCCCTATAAAATTACAGTAAAAAAAGATCAGCAATCAGAATGGCATTTTTTTTTTTTTTTGTTTTTTTGTAAAATTCATTTTTACCGGAACACATATGTTACACAAGATTAAATCTGATATACCGTAATTTTTACAATACTAATTACCGTAAAATAACCGAATCACTCTAATTAAATAAATATTTTTGTAAAAATTATTGTATAATATTTTACTGTAATAACGGATTTCAAGGTAAAATTAGATTTTACGGATGATGCATCCAAAATACCGGTACTTTATACCATATTTTTATCCGTAATTTCTAACAGTGCTGTTTTATGAAGAAACTTACTGAAACTCCTCTAAGAATGCTTTTAATTT